CTTCTATAATTCGACAAAGCACAGAATTGTAGTGCCCCAATCACTGACGTATGTCTCGCATGCGCCCCTTTTATAATTATTGTCCCAATAGCGCGAAAAGTAGGTAAACCGTGACAAATACGCAAATAAATTCCGCTGAAATTTAGCAACTTTCGACTCTAGTGCATAATTACTCAAATTAAAGGTATAAAGTACGCGATAAATTAAGTTTTCATTGGACTACTTGAACTTGGTCTGCACTCAATACGCCAATTAATTGCAAACGACTGTAATCATGTTTTCCAATTATAAACGTTATAATGATAAGTACTGCGACGTGACTCTCACCTAAACACGAAAATGACAAAAAGAATTACCTAAATACTTCACGTGGAATAGCAATGGTAATTCATCTACGGACACTATGGGTTCTGTGTTCTGTGCCGCCATCCTGCTGAAAATCGTTCCACAAAAAATCACATTTAATTTAAATGCCAAAACGGTTTCCACTCCACTTTAAAAATGCGACGCACCGTTGTTGTAGTTTGCAAATAAATATACATATACTACAAGACTTGCCTACCTACATGACGCATCTGTCACGACTGATAGCCAAACACCTGTTGCGTAACTAACGATTAACCCCACCTGTTACTGGGTCTGCTATGACTTATTTTTTATCATTATTATCAATGTTTGAACAAAGTGATTATGAGTAACGATGTATTTCGACCTTACAAAAATAACATCAATGGCCGAATGACAAATAATCCAAGCAAAAAAAAAAAAAAAACGCAAGCTGTGGTACATAATAGTCATTAATACTAAACCAAAACCTTAGATTAATGCTTCCCGAGATAGGATAAAGGGACATTTATGTGTGTTGTTTAATAAGATATACGGAAGCCTACGTATTGTACCGGCTTGGGGGCTAGGGAAATGGGTATCTAAACGCTCATTCACAGGTTTCTTTCAGAAAACCACGAAATAGTCTGTTTCGCAAATTCTAACCGAAAAGATTCTATGTTACAAAAGCACAAGTTTGGATTTTTCGAAACAGTGTTGTATGGGCTTAAAAGAAGTGATCTGTTTTATTCCTTAACACCCAAACGCAACTTCTGTTTATACAAAATGTATGATTGATTAACGCAACGTTCATTATATTGGTCAAAATGCAGGAGATTCAACCATTTTACGAGAAACTTTTTCTTGGAGATAATGGAAAAATGAAACGGTTAGGGTTTATACGAATCATCAACCCTATACCTAGTATGAGTGTTCCATGACAAAGGAAAACATCTCTAAAAAGTCGTTTGAGAGGGTATACGAGAACATCGATTTGAAATATTCTTCTGTCAATCAAATGTGGAAAGGCAGTTGGTCCACGTATGCATCCTGCCCTATCACAACCGAAAGCATCAGTGAAGAATAACTGCATATTTCTTAAAACTATCTGAAATACTCCTGAGGAACCTGTCAAAAACGTATGCTCACCTTCTGGAACATCGGGATACTTTGTCATGAGTCGATAATCATTTTGTGAAAAAAAAATTGACGAAGATTTGGAAAGAATTTCAAAATTCTCTCGAAGAGGTATGGATATTCGCTGAAAGTCTTCCAATATAATATAAGTGCCCCAGAAAAATCTGCGAATAATTTCAAAAAAAGACTCCTTTATTTTTATCATTATTTTAATCTGGTCTATGAGAAATATAAAAACCAACATGAATTCTTCAAGAATTTCGCATTAGAGTTGTTTAAAAATCATTGAATAATTTTCTAATGTCCGCGATTTTACCGAGGCTGCGCTACCAAGCCGATGAAGTAGGCACTTATAGCAAATTGAGGTAGATCCAAAAAAATTGCAATGTTGTATTATATTATGGTACGTAGGTGTGAACCATTTGAATATCTCAAAATCAATAAGAACACAAAATTTGCAAAAATGGCACAGTACCTCCTAGGTTCTTGTTTTTTAACACCTTTGGGCACTGTAATGTTCGGCATGCAAAACGGCCAACAATTTTGGCACAGTAAATCAACATTCATCTTATTTCTGTCTAGGTATACAAAATTTTGTTCTTAAAATAATTTTTTTAATAAAAACGAAATCTCGTGATCTCTTCGGATGCCAACAACTTTACTTTAGTCATTCTAATTTTTCAAATTGAGTTTATTAGGAAATTGATAGACGCTTAAAGGGAAAACATAAAGGGAATTTGTATACAGCTTGAAAGTTTTGGGAGTAGTTAGAGGAGAAATTGCTAGAAAGATAAACTCACGGAAAACTTAGAAGGGAACTGAAATAAACCTTTATGGGTAGAGCGAGAGGCATTGAGGGAAGAACTTAATAAGAAAACCTCAAATGAAATTAAGAAATGCGTCACATGAAATTGAGCGAAAGCTTGAGGGTACCTTAAAGAAATTTCAGAACATGAATATGCTTAAGGAGAACATTGAGGCAACTTCACATATGAATTGAAAGGGAAATAAGAAGTTGAGAGCTGACGAATTAGAGGAAAGTGAAAGAAAAGACCTTCTAAGGAAAGAGAGTCCCATTCCCCGCCACAGAATCGGATTTGATCGAATTGCATTTTATAACCAACTCTTTGACCTTCAGGGGCCTTGATTTTTTCGTTCACGTAAGAACCACCCCTTTGAGCTTCAGTTGTTTTTTTATCGGCTATACATTGTTTTGTGCGCCCTCTATTTCACTTTCAAATCTGTCCTCCTTTTCACTCTTAATTTTCTGCCCCTTATTTCACCTTCAAATATGTTCTCTATTTCACCTTCAAATCGGCCCTTCAATTGTGCCTTCTATTTTATTTTCAATTCTGCTCTCTATTTCACCTCTACGTTTGACCTTCAGTGACATTCAGCCTTAAAACATAATGCCTTCGACCTTGAAGGTATCCACAGTTTGATCTTCAGTGACATTGGTTTTTAGTTTAGACAACTCCACCATTTGACCTTCAGTGTGCATAGTGATGATTAAGAATTAAGATCATTTTCAGCGTGTGCATATCTATCTGCCAGCGCGGCCCTTCTTTGGGTTAATTTTCCTGGGCTAAATTTATAGTACATACGCTTTATTTTCGGATACTGCTGTGTACGTTTGTTTTTTATAATTTTCTAAGAAGGCTATGCGAAATAGGTGATAAAGATCTCTTGTAACGCAACGTTTGGACCTAACTTGAAACCCCTCCAAAGAAACCAGAAATTCAACCTCTTTACGGTGATCCAGGAATACCAACCCCCCAATCACACGACTAATCAGACTTGTAGCAAGTGACAGTAACCCAAAAATATCACACTTAAACCTCTCATAGACTCTCCCGCGCCGTGCAAGCCTTCACCATCATGATGGAAACACCACTGTTCAACATTACAATATTCACCCCAGTGCCATGTAATTGGAATACTTGCATTCTGTATGGTATCTGGTTAAACAAATAAATAAATAAATAAAACACCTTGGTCTTCATGTTTCAGACCCGAACAAGTCGCCAAACAGTGTCATAATCATAGTTAAGGCAAAAAGTCATAATCTGTATAAAATTCTTGCTAATCATCCTTATCCAACAACATATCAGTCTATAGATTCAGATTAACCTCCCTAACCTCCTTTATTTCCTGATTATACGTGGTCGGTCAACTCACAGTTGATTAGTCGCCTCTTACGACATGCAGTGTCTCTGCAGTAGAGGTATTCTTTCCCGCTCCTACACAGGTAAATGCACTTAAACGTATCAAAAAAAGGCAAAAAAATAGATATCAGACAGAAACAGAACGCCTAGAACGAAAATAAGACCACAAATTTCAATCTCTGAAAGGGCTCTCGTTACAATTCAGCGAGAATGTATGACATGAGTTTTTCACATAATGAGGGGTACTGCCGATACTAGAAACGCCCTATAGAAGTTATGAGTGTCCCAAGAACAAAAGGGGGCCAACGGCAGCATTTCCTGAGGCTTGGAAGGTATTTATCCCTAGTTTTGTGCATATGTTTATCAGATGATTCTTATTATGAAAGTTGCAAAGGAAATTCGTCTGTGTGAATTTAATTTCACTTTCCAAAGTAACACTGATGTCTATACACTCACTGAGCCCATATAGTCGTTTCTGTCCAGCTGTTTTTGTGCTTCCTGGTGTGTCGGTGCACCCATCAAATACCACTGTACCTACAGGGCGGTTCAAATTCGTGGCTTACCATTGTGATCTCAGTAATGGTGAGAGAAACAGTGCAGGTCAAATGGAAGCAAAGTTGCTCCGCTTGTGACTAAAAAAAAACTGAAAATGTCAAATTTCGTTTTCATTTTCCCTAGCTTATTTCTTATGGGTGCCACATTGGATTTTTTAGACAAAAAAACAAATTCATTCAACCCAACCCACTACAGATTTACAAATATAAATAATATTCGAACCAGGGACCCTTCATACCGCAGCCCAGCTTCAACCGAATTGCGCTACACACATTCAGCAGGATCTAATTACTCGTGGATATTTTGTTGAGAAACGAATGTAACACTTTTGATTTTGAAATTTTTCTTGTAAATTTATATATAAAAGTATAGACTGTGACACGTGATTATTTTTCTTTTCTTGGGTTTTATCTCACTCTGTAAAAATCCAATATGGCACTCATAAGAAATAAGAAAGTAGTAGCCTGTAGCTTCTACATCTGCTATGGAAATTCGGATGCTTATATCACCATATTCAACAATAATGTAGCAGAAGGCAATATTTCATTCCCGATTATATTTTGGTTACCATTAATTTAGTATTAGTTACTAAGCCATTACAACTAAGTAGTGGTGCTTTATGCCCGAATGATATGCAATTTAATTATGTGCAATATCGTATTGATGGTACTTTCGAAAGAAAAGAGAGAGTGCATTAGATTGAATCAAATACAGCACAATTTGTATATTATATAGCACCGGTAAGAAAGTATTAGGTAATCAAATCTTTCCCACAGGGAAACGGGATTGTTAACGTGCCTGTTTACGTTTTACAGTTGCTAAACGTAGACATTCAGTTTATTTCAATTAAAATATTATGTACAATACAAAAATTAAATAAAAATAATAAATAACTCTTAAATATGAGATGATCAGATCGATCTTGGTGATCTGGCGTGAGTTGTCGTTACTGGGGCGGAGGATTGTACCCCGGTATTATGTACAAGTCTTCATTAATTCCGTACAGATTTTGAACACCCGCACAATCTACGTTAAAGAACCAATCGCAAACTCTAGCAAATTGGTTAAAAACGGTTCCATTAGGGCACAGAAAACTGTACTGGGGACCACCTGGTACGCACCAATGCCAAACCTGGAAACAGTCTAAGTTGTAGCACAGAATTTCGACGATTTTCACTAACTTGACACTGAGCTTCTGGATCGCTGTAGTATCCCGGAATTTTTTGCTCGCATGTAAATGAAGTTCGTGGTATTTCATTATAAGTGGGATAATCTTGGCCTGGTATGTAACCATCGAGTTGCTGAAACAAAATTTTTGTAAACCGAACACAACAATGCATGTTATGGTAATTATCCATGTGTGAATCCGCGCACATAAATGGATTGTTTTCAGTTTATGGCACTCTATAACAATAGATTAGCCAGTAATGTTAAGATTGGGCTTCCGCTTTTAAATAATAACATTTCCTGTAACTGACCATTGAATGAATCCTGCACTCATTTTAGATAAAATCTGGTATTTGATCAGCAAGGTTAACTTAAACCACCAAGTAAAAGTTCTCAATTGCCAATATTAACGAAACTAGTGCAATTCGTAAACTACAGTGCGCTAAATTTTGCAACAACAAAAAAAATTGAGTCATTACTTACACATAAAACTAGTTGAATTAAAAATCCTCCTAAAGAAATAATGGCCGTATTAAGAAACTTCATGTTTAACAATCACAGAAAACTCACACAAATCTAATTAAACAAAAATGAGATTAACTAAATTACTGTAACACATTTAAGCCGAGCGTTTTTTTTCGTATTTAAAGTTGAAAGATCGAAAGGTAAAACAATAATGCGTCTTCTAATTGATGACGGCTTTTATATGTGGGAGATCTTAACACAGATTAAGTAAGAATCTTCCGAATCAGTGTGATATAGGTCTTCATCCATTCTCATACTTTCTGTTATTTACCTTGTCACGCCAATTCTGTTTCAATAAATACGTATTTGTTGATTTGTTACACTTTTTAATAATCGGCCTTTTCAAATGGTAAATTATACAATCGTTCGCGATCTAATTTTATAGCATCTTTCCTAATAGCATTCATATTTCCTGTATATGATTTAGCATTTGGATGTTCCGTAGGTAATTTGCGCCCAAATGTTTCCTGTCAAAAGTGGTAATGATATAGATTGATACAATTATTATTATCACAGGTCCTGTTTGCAATTAGTATTTATAATAACCACCTCATTTAACATCTTTAAAAGTTGGTGTGTGAACTGTGAAGTTAGCAAAGTTGTTCGTAAGTATTGTAATTTAAATGAATTTATGATTAATCTTCAATAATACGCGCCACTGAAGTCAAAATTCACCCCGGAAAATACATACAATTTCAAAAATTGGGTCACCTTTAGGCGCGGATTTTTTTATAAACAACTTTTTTGTTTTCCAGATTTATCCATTACTCGTCGTTTTTGGAAAAAGAATGTTTTACCCTAATTATAAATAGCGAAAATATTAAATTGGGTCGATTGACGTTATGTAGATGCAACTTTTTCATTATGCAAAAAATTGGGCACCAACTTTATGCCAATTTGCGCGTTTGGAATTAAATTTTGCAAAGATTGTAAATGAGCACTTATTGAAAAACGAAAGTCTTCAACTAAACAGTTTCCCTATGAAACCGTATGCTCGTCTATTTGTTTGACTGGGTAAATATGAGCAGACCAGTCCCAGTTTTGCAATAATAATAATTCCAAAAATCAGTTAGCCGAAATAATTCGACTTTTGCAATAATGTACTATTAGGCCTAAATATTATTATAATTTATAACGTATAGTTTCTGTTATGAAAAAACGTATTACAATTCGGTCACGGCTCCGTGAAGTTTGGGGAGAATAATTTGTTTTTGATGAGGGCGCATAATTGGTGCCTAATTATGCATTCCTTAAAACAACATTAATTTCAAACGACCTTAGTTTCCCACGTTTCTAGAGAATTTCGGTTCGGATTAAGTTTAGTGCCTTTCATAACTGCTTATGGCGCTTTAAAATGTTGGATTTGTATCTATTTACAGTATTTTGGATAGTAAATTTACTTAACGGTTTTCGGTGAGAAGGAAAAATCAAAATTTTGTTATTAAAATCCTTTCCTAAATTTAAAATTGGGTTCATAGATTGAAAATGGGTTAATGCCTTTTGGATGACATTACTAGAATGTCAACTGAGAATTGACAGTATATAGGACTGCACAGAAAAGAATTAAAAAACTTCACTCCGTTCCTGAGTTATTGCAGTTATTGTTTAGGTACTTAGGATCATTGTTTCCATTATTTCCGAAGATAGTTTTTTTTATTTTTAAAGAAACTAAGACTTTGTTTTTCATTCATTAATTATTGCTAAATCACAAAAAATGTATTCTGCTTGAGAAACATTCTTGTAATTGGAATATCAAGTTTGAGTTACTATTTCCCAAATTTTGGTAATGATTAATGAGAAAAATAAATACTTTACTATTTTTAAACCAATTTTACCTGAGCTAGCCCGGAGAGTAAGTACGAAAGGTAAGTTACAACATACTACAACAAAAGAACATAACAAAGAAAGAAAGAATTTTATACTTCGAAACACATCACAAACCGGAGAAAATCATGAACCTTTTGTAGTGGGACTGTAAAGTATGTGCTAATCTGCTAAAGTATTAATGCGCAATTCATTTTTTAACATAATAAATAATAGGGTTTAGATTAAGGTTGATGGGTTTCTCTATTCCAAATGATCGCTAAAACTGAGCAGTTTTGGCTAATCAAAAAACAAAATGCAACAACCATATAAGATTTTTTGTGATAAGTAAAAAACAGATTTTTTTTATATAACTTTTTTAGTAAGTGATCATAGAAAAAATTCCTTCCTTGATGCAAGATTCGACACCATAACGAACCAAATAGTGCAAAAAAATCGATCTTAAGATAAAGATGTAGTAGCGGCACAGCCGTAGGAACGGACAGACCAAGTTGGCACAACAGTGCATTTTTTTCTGTTTGTGGAAATGCGCTAAAAAATATAAACTTAATATAACGTATACACAAAATTTATAATTAGATAAATTTTTAAAACAATAGGAGTGCTGAGGCATTCTTCTAACGAGTTTTTAGAAACATATTAGGCGTACTAGAGTTGTAAGTATGTATGCATAATTGCATACTGTCAGTTGAAAACGCAAATCACTTTTGGTGAATTTCTAGGAGAGGCACTATACTGTCTATACTATACACTTCTTAAAACGGGTGCCAGTATAATTCACTTATTTGAAATGAAACCAACACCTGGATTTTGTTTCACACAATCCTCGTGTAAGTGAATGTAGGAGATCAGAAGTGGACAATAAAAGTAATAGCACCAGTTGAACCCGTCCTGCTTCGCAAGAAGTTTATCTTATGCGTAAACAAAAGTTCGCCACGTTAAAAGTACTCCGGATACCGGATACACACACATATTTTTAGCTGCATATATATTTGGTTATTATTTCATAAGTTCCATTATCATTGAGTATATTATGCGTTAAGTATTTTAATAACATTAAAAGTATGTCGACTTTCTTTTTCTTCCAATGTTTAACTCTAAAGAAGAAGCAACAAGTTAAAAAGTAATCGTAAACGATTTACATAAAGCGCATTTCCACTTGCATTCATTTCCCATTTGTAAGATGCAACTTCTGTTAAAATCGTAAAATCCGCCCACAAATATGAAAGATAGCGTTGCACATGGGCAATCCATTGTTGACGTGCTACTTCAATTTCAGTTTATGAGAAGAATTTCATTTCAATGCTTTTCTAAATAAAAAAGTTGGAACTGCGCATGCGCAAACCTAAATTTTAAAACTTATGTTAGATTTTCCTTTGTTCCAAGCGCCTTCAAATTTCACTTAAATGGTTCCATAGATAAAAAAGTTGGCACTGCCCATGCGCAAAACCAAATTTTGAAATTGGCGTTTGATTTTCCTTTATTCGAAGTGCCTATGTATCAAATTTCGTTTAAATTCTTCCATAAATAAAAAAGTTGGCACTGCGCATGCGCAAAACGAAATTTTGAAATTGGCGTTTGATTTTCCTTTATCCCAAGTGCCTATGTATCAAATTTCGTTTAAATTCTTCCATAAAATAAAAAAGTTGGCACTGCGCATGCGCAAAACACAAATTTTTGAAATTGGCGTTTGATTTTTCCCTTTCATTCCAAGTGCCCTACTGTATCAAATTTCTTCAAATAACTTTTATAAGTAAAAAAGTTTGCAATTCGGTTTATAAATGGTCGAGATGCGAAAAGGGCACTGTGAATTTTGAATCGATTCGATTCAACTTTTGGAATTGCGTATTATATGGCTAAAGCTATGCCCATATTGAATTTCATGCAATTCAGTTCATAACTAACGGAGATGTAAAAGCGATCGAACATTTCTAAACAAAGTTATCGTTCACACGGTCAGATAGATGGACAGACAGACAAAGGAACAAACGGACAGACCAACAGGCAGACGATAGATAGCAATGCAAAATTATAAACGATCTCTAGGATCGTTAATAAACGGTAAAAGTGTAAAATTATGGAAAATGTAAAAAACGGTTTTTTGTTTTTTTTACAATAACTTTTTTTGTAAGCGGCACAGAAAAAATTCCTTCCTTGGTACAAGACTCGACACCATAACGAACCAAATAGCGAAAAAAGTAGAACAATAGCTCTTAAGATAAAGAACTAGTAGCGTCGCAAAACGAGCGGACGGACGGACAGACGGACGGACGGACGGACGGACAAAGTGGCCACAATAGCGCATTTTTTTTTTATTTTTGTGGAAATGCGCTAAAAACACCAAAATACCTCTCATTCTTTTTCTCGACTTATCTAAATCTGTTCTTTATATAAAGTAAACCAGACTAAAGGAACCAAGCTTTTTCGCAATTTTCACGGAGAAAAAAAACACCAATATTACAAAAAAACTGCTCATTTTGTAATAGAGAAGTCCACAAGTTACAACATAAATTGATCCAACGTTTAGCTCAGTTTCTGAGTGTAGTTAAATTAGCTAGTTTTATTTTGTTATTTCTTCTATAATACGTACACGCTGCTGCGTTACAAATAGACTTTTTAGCTTAGGGTTAGTGCAAAACTAACCACACCTGAATGGCGTGCTCCTTCGTCCCATTGAGAAAAGGCCCATATGAGCAGTGCTAATAGCATATATTGCTCGTTTGTCAACACTAAGATTCCATGAGTTTACTGTCAGTTCGATTTTTGGATTATAACGAAACAAATTTGAAAGATTCACATGAGTAGTTCCTTTAACTATCTTTAACATTAGAATTTTACTAATGTGCCCTATCGATAGCATCATGAGAAATTCTTTAGCAATTCTATAAAAAATCACACCAGAATTTCCAAAAAACTTTCTGGAAATTTCTGAAAAATGTTGAAAAACGAACGATAAGCGTTTGCGGAACTATTTAAATGAACTTTTTGTCATCAAATAAACCAAAGAATTAGTCCCTTTCGTATTTACATCATATTTAGGAACATGAACTTATTATGTACAGATAAAATGTA